AGCTCTGATCATTAAGCGAATTGATGGGTGGTTAAATTATTTCAACTGCAAACTGTTTGACTTCACCTCGCTCTCGCTCTCTCTCGCACTCAGTGGGCACAGCCCGGCAGCTACTAGATTGTGGCTGGGCTAAGCGCATCAATGCGGATGATGGGGCTAAAAGGGTTTTGCGGGCGCGTGGGCGTGCGGCACCGTTGCGGTTGTGCAATGCCCCAGTAATGGTATTGGCGGCCATAGTGGCTCCTGGCTTGCGGTCGCTTCAAGGACACGCCCGAATGCCTGCCAATGCTCTAAGCGCATCGAGAACCAAATATGGCCCATGTGCAGCATTTGCTCCCCACTCCCCGCCTAGCTGCATGCCTCGTGCGCATTTTTCGGCCACTCTTCTTGCTCAGCCAGTTTGACCAACATCTGACGCAAACACGCTCACTGCATGTTGCCTGCAATTGGCTGCACATTGATTACATTCACACGGCCATTTCTTCTTCTCGGCAAGGGCTTCCCGCTAGCTGCAGCTTCTATATCAATATATGAATTGCAGTTTCATTCAGTTGCAAGTCTCTTGCCTGCTGAAACTATGTGCCAGGCAACAGGTTTTCATATTAGACAGAGTTTATGCTTCGATCTGCACATAGTATAAGTTCTATGGCATAGCTATGAGCTATGAGTTGGATATATCTAACTAGAACTAGTTAATAAATAAATAAATATTGCTTTAAGCTTTAATAACGTTCAGCTAAGCTAACTGCAACAATCTGTTTGCCTTTGGTAGACTTTACTTTAGTCACGCTTAGGCAGCTACAGCAACTGTTGCTCCGAGGTCAAGTCAATTTCGGCAGCCAGAAATTTGGATATACGGGACTTGTATACAATGGGCAGCAGGAGGCGTGGCAAACGCTCTAAGTTATATATATTCGTGATCAGATAAGCTGTGTCTATGTGTGTTGTTTGCCGTGTGTCTGTCTAAAAGAAGCGTAGAAAGAGTGGAATCACAGCTCTAGTTATTGTTCAGGGTATCTGCTAGTCGAGCACTCCCGAGCGCAGCACTCTTTGCTTGTTAAATTATATTTTAAGTACATTCAACTCGAAGAAGTTGATTGAGTTTATACACAATTTATGTACACCTATCAATTTGTAACGTGCATCAGCCGGAAAGCTCGTGCCGTGAAATTGCTAGACTTGAAGTAGGAGTGAAAACGAATCGATTGCTACAATTTTGTATGAACTGCCTTTGTGTAGCTGCAAGCGCATAATATGATGAGCCACACTCATCGGGATACGCCACAAAATTCAATTGAACCCGAAGCAGAGGCTGCCTGTTTGATGTGACATATCTTATGGACACTTTAGCGCTGGCATTTGTGAAATGCTTTTCAATTGAGTTGAGCGAATGTATTCGTTGGTTAACATGAATGCTTTATCTGCTGCGGCTGCTGCTGCTGCTGCTGCTGCTGCTGAACCCCTCGTTTAATATTTTGTATTTTTATTTCTTTATTCACCTTCCACACATCCATGCAGAGTTATTCAGATGTGGGTTCCCCGGGTCTGCTGCGCTACGAATTGCACGGTTTGCTGCACGCTTCAAACTGTGATTAATTTCCGGGTGGCTGGCGATAAAACTGCTTTGGTTCATCAATATCTGGTTGCGACTTACCGCCTTCTTCTTCGCCCGGCTGCTGCGTGCGCGCATCCAAATAAAACCAATCATATTCTGCAAAATGTCAAATACTGCGAATTTCACACAACAATCCCATTCCAGTTTCCAGTTTCCATTTTCCATTTCCTATTTTTTTTTTTCAATATTGTTTTCCAGCCCGTACAAAGTTGCATTTGGGTCAATGATGTTGTGCTTTTGTTTTCGAATCTGCCGTTTTTATGCGCAACAATATTGCGCAAAAAATATTGCATATTGTATACACTTGTAAATAAATAAATCAATAGAATGACCCACCCACACGAGTGACCCCTCTGGCCTACTGTGGAGCTAACTAGAAGTATCATTGTTTCGATGCGGACATGTTTCACTACTTGTTAGCCATATATCCCTCTGCTATTGGTCGCCTTTAATGCACTTGCATTTGCATTTTCCCATATTCGGGATGTGTCCAAAAACTTTTCCACTTGAGCGCCGCACCGCTCCGCATGCTCTGCGTCTTTGGGCCGGGCCTCCAAAATATTATCTTAAGTTTCGAGGGCTGGGCGTGCGTCTCGTCGTCACTCGGTGTCTGTTATTGATTTGGCTCTCGATGGCCAGATTGATTTTATTTATTAGGATTCGATGGGATGGCGCTGCATAAATATGAATTGTGAACAGCTCAAGCCACAAAATTCCTTTGTTCGGCATTTGAAGTGCACATTAGAAGTGCGCAGCGGACAATGGCTCTCGGCTGGGCAGTGCACACGAGATTTTAATAGCATCGCCTGTCATCAATCTCTGTCTGTGACAGCGAGAGCATAAGCCTCGACTATTTGCCCGGCAAGTTTCCGTTTCCGAGTGCCTGCAGCATTTTGTCCATCCAACTGTTGCTCTCAAATTGGCCAGGGCGAATCTTCAAGAACTTGTTAAGGACCTATCGGTCTCACTCTCCCTCTCTCAATATATTTATATATTTATTTTTATACTATCCCAATATATATATAATATTTTAATAATCACAATCGTTAGATAAGCTCTTAAGCCACCAAACACTCGTTTCAATGGCCTTTAACTATCCCAACAATATCTCGACTATGAAATCAATTCGGACTCTCGCCATTCGGCAAAACACAAACATTAAGCGAGAAAAATAACATTTAAAATAACACATAAACGGAAAATGCATAAATAAACGTCGCGTCGTCCAGTTGGATTATCTCTGCCCGAAACTTGAACGGGCCAACATTTACCTAAGCCATCGAATCTGACAGATAGATAAATAAATCTATTAAAATGCAACCGGAATTGTGAAATCCATTCGATTAGCTTTCATTTTCGCATCGATTCCAATTTCTGCGTTGCACAAATGTAAAAAATTGAAGCGTTTTGTATTTCCAACTATCGGATTGAAACTCAGCCAGAAGCACGACAATAAATGCTTAAACCGAACTCGTTGCGGATAAGCTTAACATTGAAATGAGCTTATTATTTGGATCTAGCGAGCGATAAGTATCGATTAGCTTTGATACAAGTGACTTGTTCCACAGACTAACAATCCTATCATATATTATATCATTCGATAAGAGTTCGATAAAATTCGATAAACTGTTTCATAATTTATATGTAAGTTAACATTATCGATAATGTATATTCGATAAAGATCGATACATTTAAATAATTTGATTTACCATTGATATGCAATTTTATGACTATATAAATAGGTTTTCAGATTCGATAAGTATCGATTTCGATAATTAGAAAACTGAATCGATAAGTTGGATTGGCTACCACTTTTTAGCTATATAGAAAAACTCTTTGAACAATATAAATATGTTATCTGCTGCGATAAGTATCGATAAATTTCGATAACTGCAAGACTAAAGCGTCACAATTAATTTTTTTTGCGCTTGCTAGTTAACATAATCGATAAACAATTTGAACATTTTAACTAAGGTATGTGACTCGATAAGTATCGATCGATGTTTGACAATCGATATGCCATTTGAAGCGTACATCGCGAACATAATCCCGATCAGGACATGCATAAAAGCAGCCTTAGACTCCCGCAGTTGCACAAAATGGCTGACCAGAGTTGCGGAATACTTTGACATCTTGGCGCATGTTGAATCAAGTGAAAAGCCAATTACATGTGCACGCTATCTAGACGGCTCGCTGGCGACAGAGCCAAGCGTGCAGACAGGGCCAATGGCGAGCGTCGACTGCAGCGCCGACATTTACCTTCGCCTACAGCTGTTTAAAATGTTCCGATTATTACAGTTGTAGCTAGCGGTGCCAGTGTGTCTGTGTGTCTGTGTGTGTGTGCGTGGGTGCGAAGGTGGGTGTGTGTGTGTGTGTGGGAGTATTAGTGCTGTAGCTGAACGAGAGTATCTAACGACAGTCAGGAATTGCTTCTATGTCGCGGCGCCGCATTTGGGTTAGGTATAAATATATATATATATGTGTGTGTGTGTGTGTGTGGCTGATGAAGGGGCCAAAAGGGTTGCCGCGCGTTGGGCGTTGTTTGATGTGCACGCAAATTATTACTTAAGCGGCTTAAACTTGTTGAAGCGCTGCCAGTTTGGGTTATTCGCTGCGGTTTTGCCTAAATTAGGTTTGAGTCGCGTTTGGTCCGCCTTGTGGGTGCCAAACGATAAAGACATCGTATTCGAGTTGTCCTATGCACACGCACACACACATACATATATATATGTATACATGTACGTGGAAACTTAATTTGTAAACGTGCGCACAGTTTCTTATCTGCGAGCCGCAAGTATGCATATAAGTCGTCATTAATGGCTAAACTTCATTCGTGAGTTAATGCAGCCTTGTTTAAACATGAGTTGGAGCGCATGGCAACGGCTGGCACTGACTGCGCGATGCTCGCCTTGAGCTGCAAACAGACTGCAGAGACTTTTGTAGTGCGAGTAGAGTAAGTGTAAAGCCCAGCAGAAAGCTGCTGCAGTCGCACTGATGCAGCTGTTCAGCCAGCGCCAGCAATCACTGAGAGTATTTGCAGAGAAAAGTAAAAGTAAAGACGCAAAAATATATGAAATGCGTGCCACAATTTGCTGGTCGATGGCTTAGATCAAGGAAAGCATATGCTGCTCGGCAGGCCTGTGTATGTGTGTTGACATAATTGGCAGCGGAAGTGCTGCAGGCTAAAGCAACGAATTCCCATTGCAGTAAGTGTGAGAGCTGTGCTTAAGCCTTGTGTACACTGAATCCATATGGACAATCAGACAGCTGCAACTATGCTTCCATTGCCCACTCTTCGCACGACTATAATGACAGTACAGATTGAGTTCCGCTGAGACGCTTTAAATGGCTTCACATTAGTTTACTCTCAAGTCGAAGCCTAGTTACACGTAGTGTCTTTGTTGGAAATATTATTGTTTCAGTCTCCATCTGCAGCTGCAAACACAATTAGCAAATGTCACGGGGCGGACATCGGCTTAGGCAGAGCCGCTGATTGCGCATACGCAACGTGGGCAGCCCACGAACTGATTGTGTGTCCCAAGTCGCAGTAATTTGCATGCAACGCCCGGCGGAGCATAAAAGGGAATTCGAAGCGCGCATTGGAGTATGTGATTTTAATGATGTGTTTCAGGATTGCTCGAACGAATCGAGTTGGCGTCGCGTTCCCAAATAGTATCTTCCCCCGTCTATACACACATACATATATATATGTAAATATATATGTTTGCACAGTGTGTAAGATGCTTTGAGGGAGTAGTCCGCTTACCAAAATGGCCACTGAGCAGGCGCCCAATTTGTGTGGTCAGCAGCTGGGCGAATGGACGCGCCATCAGGTGTGCAGCGACGATACTCTGGCTCGCCTGGCACTCAAGTACGGCACAACAATGGGCCGAATCTGTCGAGCCAATCGCATGTATTGGCCGGATGTCCTGCAGACGCGTGACTATGTTTGGGTACCGGCAGCGGGCAAACAAAGCGAACAGCAACAGCAAAGCGAGTCGACGGTGACTGCGGCCGTGGCCTTACCGCATCGCGGCAGAGTCTCGATTGTGCCGCCCCACTTCTATCGCCAGAGTGCGCCCAATGCGGACGACTTTGCCGGCGACTGCGATCCTCTGCTGATCACCATGCGCTGCATGTGACGCGTGCACAATCAGGCAATGGCATCTTGGGAGGCGACACAATTTAATTAGCGACCACAACTGCAGCTGCTGCAGTTGCTTCTGGCTCCTGCTCATCCTGCCCGGGTGGCTGCAGCTGCAGCTGCAACTGCCAGTCAACGAGCGTTATCAGCCAAGCGAACTTGTGGGCGGAATTTCAATTATCGTTACATTATGCTCTTAGCCGTGCGTCCCCAGCGCTTGCTACGTGAGCTTTGACTGACTTTGACAGCCGAGGAGAGGCGAATGCTTGTGCTTCTGCTGGGCGACAAAACAGGTCCCGGCTCTAATACTTCGCCACAGCTGGCAACATCCTTCACCTCAAAATTTGCTGTATTAGAAAAGATACAAAGATATATTAATGTGGCTGTGCCATGTGAAGCCTTCTCCGACGTTGATATATGGGAAAGTTGCATGCATATAAAGAAGCTGGACTTACGAAATTTGTAGTTGAAAGTTGCAAGCGACACAGTCAAGTACATCAATTATAAGCTAACATTCTCTAATGGCATTAGCTTCGCTGGCAGAGCAATTGAAGTTCGGCGAGGACACCAACTGCTGCGCTGACATTAAGCAAATGTCTGGGAATTTTTGTCGCACAGCGGAAATAAAGAAGAAATGCGAAGGCAGAGCCATTGGCAGCCCCTCTTTGTAGGACCTCCCACTGCTCCTTCCATTCTCTCTCCCTCTCGCTCTCTCTCTCGCACACACACCGCCCGGCGCGCTGATTAGAAACCCCAGAGCGCTGCCAGCTGTCGACGCGCTACAAAATTGGCTTTTAATTGTTGCAGAAGTGAATTTGCCACAAACAGGATGCAATTAAGACATTCAAATTCACGATTCGAGTACGCGCTGGTGCTGCTGCTGCTGCTGAGTGGCGACACACGCACATAGAGACACAGGAACTGGTGCGCAGGTGGCAGCGCTATCGAGCGCACTCGGGGCACGTGCAACAGCAGAGATAAGCATGCCAGTGGCCAGTGGCCAGTGGCTACACTTCGCTGGCGACCCCGACACACATTCAAAGTGGAACATTAACTAATCTGTGTGTGGCACTTGGGCATAACGATGCCTGCGATGAGGCAGAAGCAGTCGTGCCACTTTTCCAATCCTGCCGCCAGCTTCGAAAGCGAAAAGAAAAAAGGCACAAAAACGAAAATAATAAAGGGGCCAGCGCCGAGAAATATGCGTACGTGCTCGTGTGATAAATTCACATTTTCCGGCTGGCAGCCGAGCGGCGGCAGCAGGAGCAGGAGCAGGACAATCGCTGGCATTGATAGACACCGAACTCGATGGACGGCCGCATTAGACGTGGCGGGGCAGGTGGCAGAGCCGTGAAACGTAGCGGAACGCCGGTGTCAAAAAGGAAGTGCCAAAAAAAGGAAGAGAATACGGAATATGGAATACGGAATATGTAGGAAAAAAAGAAGCGTGTGGGAGGTGCAGACGGCGTGGAGCATGACGTGAACGTGGACGACAACGCCGAGCATCAGGCGGACGACCATGGATGGCCACATTTTGTGCCTTTTTGACAGACACAACTTTGGAATTGCTCTGATTATGCCAGAGACAACGGGGGCGCAGCGGATGCGGGCCCCGACGCGACGGATTCGACGGAATAGACGGACGCTCTCGACTCAATGGCATGTTGACAATGATAACGAAGTTGGCCCTGACTGCGTTTAGCATTCGGATTCACAGCGACAGAGAGAGAGAGAGACAGATAGAGACAGGTATTCACGCAGAGAGAGAGAGAGAGAGAGAAAGAAAGAGCGTCGGACAGAGCGAGTGAAGAAAAAAAAACAGACTGCGGAAAATATCAAATGTCGCATGCCGGCATTAATATTTCATGAGAAATCATAGTTTGGTGATGCGTATAATTCAAAGAATTGCAATCTGAATTAATTTCAAATACTCGGACCAGCAGCCGCCCAGGTATTTCGCATCGATTTTGACAACCTGCTTCCGAAACTTGTTGCCACACAGTGCGAACGGAGGGCGGGAGGGGCATTGTTTGGCTTTAATTTTCAAGGAGAGCATCTATCTATATTTTGAACGGGGCGAGAGGCAGCATGTGGCTGCTGTGTATGAAGCAACAAAGTTTTCAACATTTCTGCATCATAAAAGTTTACTTCGCAAAGGGCATCAAAATGAATGCGTATCGAATTTTGATGCATGAGCTGTTACTGTTACTGCCGTTGCTGTTGCTGTTGCTGTTGCCGCTGCCGCTGCCTCGTCGATCGATGGCCACAAAGTGCATGTGGCATGCGGCATGTGGCATGTGGCATGCGGCATGCGGCATGTGGATTCGATATTGTGGAGTCATAAGCCAAGCTGCCGCTGTAACTGCCAAAAGTTTTGCGAGTGAAACTCATTTATTTGTTTTCCGCCGTGACAGTTGAACCATGTAATTATACACAGACAGCCGCTGCCCCCAGCCCTCTGGCCCTGCCCCTTTCGCTGTGTCTTATGTTCCCCCATTTCGATTCGAACGGCCCCTCGCCCGGGAGACTTATGAAATATGACAGTTTTGCACACAACGCACAACTTTTGGACCGCCTTTCAAATAGAAATTATTAGAAAGTTTCGAGCGAAAGCGAAAACTGGAGGCTAACAGCGAACTGCAGCGCGCTCTGCCCATGAGATTAGTGCAATTCGGGACACAAAGAGAACCGTGATGGCAAGAGACGGAGCGAGAGAGCAAGATATATGGAGAGATGGAAAGATGGAAAGATATATAGATTGTAGCTTGGCTGAATTCATATTGAACATTTCAAGGTTTTATGTCAGCCTTTTGATTTATGTAGGTTGGCAAGCTGCCACACGCCAACTTTTCGCACAGCAGCTAGCTGGAGAGACAGCTGGAAGGAATAGGATGTGAAAATATTAGAAATTAGCGGCTAAAAGTGACCCACTTGAGCCCTACTATTAGCCAGCGCGAACTTGTCCAGGTCAAACATGCATTTTTATGTAAATTATTAGTTATTTTTTTGAGATTGGCATGATTTGCATGAATAAAATCAAATATACACATACACATATGTATGTAATTGGATACATTCTCTAATCAAGCAGCATAAAATGTAAATTTAAACTGAGGCAGAAAGAGAGGGAAGAGGAGCTTTACAATAATTAATATTAAATGAACAGAGGCTTAGCCTGAATGTGTGTTAAAGTGAAAACTTAAATCACAAACAGCATTGATTGATGTACATATACATATGCCGGATTTAAATTGAACACCTTCAATTAAAATTTGTCTCTACACTACGAATACTCGGTGTGTTCTCCTGCACCATTCGCTTGCTCAAGTTGTCTATTTATATTCGTTTTCTATTCGTCCATCAAAATCATAAAGCGCCTGTTCACAGTGCCTAAGCAGGTATCTCGCTCTTACTCAGCACGACACGACACTACGTTTAGCAACAGCTACCGTTGTCTCGCTCTCTCGCATTGAGATCAAACGGACACAAGCAACAAATGAGCAGCGAGCAACTAAAACGCAAACTCACACGGATAATATTCTGACAATAACACACTAATACTATTGCAATAGTGGGAGGCAGTTGTGCTATACATATAAAATTGTTATTTTTAGCCACATCTTTCCACGTGCTCCCTCTTTCATATTTCAGGTATAGCTAAAGTTAATATTAATGTACATTTTTATTAATTCATTCATATTTGCCGCTTTGTTGGTCGAATGCTTTCATTTGTTCATGCTGCACACTTGGCTGGGCAACAATCGCGCAAATGTTTCTCAACTTAATTGATACGGCAGTGGTGGTGCAAACTGTGGCACCACACCCACTGCCCACTGCCCACCAGACACCGCACCAGCGACTACCGACCGCCAACACCAGTGAAATGGCTTGTGAGGCATTGGCAGTGCAATATTACTTATTTACAGCACTCGAGTTACTGCTGCTGCTGCCGCTGCTGCTGCATGTAAGTAATTATAAATTGAATTAAAAGACGCGTAACTCAAGCGCCTTCTGCTGCTGCTTGGGCTTAATTAAAATTGCATTATGTGCCCATATATATAGCATATATATATATATATATATATATATATATATATATATATATATATATATATATATATATATATATATATATATATATATATATATATCTTTCTATGTATTGTCGCATGCATTTCACTCTCCGCAGTTATGTGTTTAAAATGCTGTAAAAATATTTGACAGGCAGCTTTACGAGCGAGCCGTTCAAATATTTTATCCCGTCGACTGTGCGACTAGGTTGCCCCGTCCCTTGTAGCCCCTTGCCACCACGTGCTGTCCATTTCCATTTGCCATCGTTCGTGCCATTCTGGCAGTCTTATCTATTAACTGCTCGAGCAGCTAAAACTAATGCATGCATAGTGTATGCATACTTACAGCGCCCACTGTGTGTTTGCATTCGAATGCATTTGCTGGTCGCAAACAAAACAAAAGACTAGAAAATACTTACTAAATGCATCAAATACAAGAACACCAAAAAAAGGCATGCTCCAGTGGAGTACGCTCAACCAGCAGATACCCTACAAAACTGCTTGAAATTAAACTTGAGTTGCAAGAAACTTTTTGCTATTGTCAGATCTGGAGAGTCGTTTCTGCTCGTAATAGAAACATAGTTTATCGAGTCAAATGCTACAAATGGGCTAAGCCAATTGGCAAGCCCGGTGCAAAGGGTATGACAACAACAAGAGCAACAAAATAAAAATGCAAACGCAACTTGTCGACATGAATTGTCATTTCACATGTTCCTTGTTGTTGCTGCTGCTGTAGCCGAACTTTATTGTTCCTCTACGAGAGAGAGTGTGCGTGTGTGTGTTCGTGTCTGTTTGCATTTGTTGTTGTTTTTGGGAATGCAACGCCGCATAGCTGAGCAAAGCAGAGCATAGCATAGTTTTTAGCGCAAATCAAAATGATTGATGATGATGGCCATCATGCAGCAAAGCTCTAGTTCAGGCTTTAGCAGCAGCAGTAACAGTAGCTCAGCCCCACACACACACAGACACACACAGACAAAGAACAACAAACACTTGACAGTTATGGCTGCTGATATACAGCAAATAAACTAAATAAATCCTTTTTTGTGTAATGTCGTTTTTGTGCCACTTTGTTTTAAAGGCATGCCACATGAGCACCCACTCGCCAGTGCTGCCTGTGCATGTGTGTGTGGCATATATGAGCTATGAGCTATGGCCCTGCTGCTGCCAGCGTGCTGCCATTGTCATTCTTTTCAATTGCAAATTGACGCTGACCAAAAGTATGAAACACTTCTTTGCACTTTGCTTTTGTTTCAGCTACGCACACACGCACACACACACTCACGTTGTCATTGTCACTTCATTAATGCTCTCCACACACACACACACACGCGCTCACACACAAATTAGCCAAAACGTTTACGTTTATGCGCAATGGCCATTCTGCAAGCCTTGCTGCCAAATGTCCCTTGGCTAGACATAGCTGTTTGTTGTTGTTGCTGCTGCTGCTGCTGCTGCTGCGGCTGTTGTTGTTGGCGTGGCTGCAGTTGCTTTTGTGGCTGCGCTTATTGTTGTCCTGTCGCTGCCTCATTAGCCAGCCAAAGTCTGTCGACAACTGCGTTGCACCCACATGCAATACACAAGCTC